AGCGCCGTCATTTAGAACGCTTATAACATTTAATTAAATTTTACCACACATGAACTTTTCGCTGACTTGGACCGATCAAGTTGAGCTTTTTTTGTTGCGTTGTTGTTTCATTTTATGCTTTTTTTTACACTTTGTGCGAATGCTTCGATTTTTTATTGACGCACATCAAAGTCATTAACACGCCATTTTTCTCAAAAATCTTTTCGCTATTTTTCGTTGCTTTGCTTTATATTTCCTCATGACTTTTCGGAGTGATGGAATTGACTTTCTTTGATTGCGCCTTCATCTGGGATATATTCACTTCTATTTCTGCTTCGATTTATCACAATTGCGCTTTTGTTGTAGTGTGTTGTTGTATCCGCATGTGGCTTTATGAAATTAATAATTTTATGATATTAAAGTTTTCAGCGCACAACAACTGCGGCACATCTGCTAATCAAGGAAATCAGGGCAGTCACCAAGCGCAAACACACACATACATATGTATATGTATGTATATTTCAGTGTATATTTCATATGCGTTGCTTATGAGGGGCGGATAATAGACAGCCGTCAGTTGGCAACAACAAATTTATTGGGCATAATCGAGCGCGATTGTATAACCGAAAGTGGCCTACAAATGTTTGACGCCGCCGTCGGCGCTGTTATGTTATTAATCTTGCCCCCGTGTGTGCGTATGTCGGTTGCGTACAAAAATAATGTCGATCTGCATGCTTATGTTGTTGTGTTTATTTTCGTCACTCCTTTCATGTTTTATTTACATTTGTATTTCGCTTGTGGCGAAGGGTAGCGAGGATTATATGTTTAATTATGTCATATACATGCGGTGATTTATATAATGAAACATAAATTAAGTAACGTAACAAGGAAATTGCCACAATAAAGTGAATAAGGTATTTTGTTGAGCAGCTAAAATAAAAACGGAAATTTATTTTGTATTTTCGTCTGTGACTATTTATGTTTTGAATACAAACCAAACTGAAACAAGTAAGGAAAAGCTAAGTTCGGATGTAACCGAACATTTTATACTCTCGCAAAGTCACATGGTATACTCGTTTGAGATTTCTTTGTGAATTGACTGATATTTTCGGTAGAAGGTCAACTATAGGCACTGGGGTCCACATATTTAGTACTTAGGAGCTTGAACAGTTTTGGTTCGATTTAGACAATTTTTGGTCACAAGGTGGCATACTTCAAACGCATTATTCACGCAAAGTTTTACCCCGATATAATCATTGTTGCTTGATATGCATAGTGGAAAGTGAAAAAACCAGATGAAATTTAAAATGGTGTTATATGGAAAATAGGCGTGGTTGTAATTCGATTTCGCCCATTTTCGCACTATGACATAAAAACATAAAAAGAACGTTATGCACCGAATTTGGTTGAAATCGGTTAAGCAGATGTCAAGATATGGGTTTTCACCTAAAAGTGGGCTGTGCCACGCCCACTGTCTAATTTTGAACGCGGTTCCTACAAAGTCATCTCATACCATCCCAAAGATAAAATTTAATGTCTCTGGCGTGTTTAGTGCTTGATTTATCGCGCGTTTAGTAGTTTTTAACAGTACCGTTGTATTGGGAGTGGGCGAAGTTGCCAGCCGATTTCACTCATTTTCACACTGTAGGTAGAGGTTCTAAAAACATATGCTTCCAGTAAATTTTGTTATTATAGCATTAGCGGTTTAGGAGATATGCACATTAAACCTATTAGGGGCGGGACCACGCCCACTAAAAAAAATTTTTAGCTGCAGATGCTCCTCCCTATTGTGATCCTGTATACCAAATAAGAGTCTTGTATCTTGTTGTGGAGCTTAGTTATGGCAATTTATTTGTTTTTGATTAATGGCGTTTAGTGGGCGTGGCAGTGGTCCGATTACGCCCATCTGCAATACCAACCGTCTCACGGTACCAAGAAACATGTCTACCAAGTTTTATAAAGATATTTCAATTTTTACTCAAGTTAGAGCTTGCACGGACGGACGGGCAGACAGGCACCCGGATTTTAACTCGTCTCTTCATCCTGATCATTTATATACACATAACCCTATATCTAACTCGATTAGTTTTAGGTGATACAAAGAACCGAAAGGTAAACAAAACTATTATACTCTGTAGCAACTGGTTGCGCGAGTATAAAAATCACTCTGAAGTATTTTCTAATTGATTTCAATATTTTCCATGATCCACTTATATTATAAGATTGTTTTGCTAGAAAACTTGCTCAATCTTATGAAAATATTTTTAGTACGTACTGCCAAATTAACTTTGTTTATGGTTTTTTTGAGTCTTTCTTGTTTAAATTTCGGAAATTCTTCTTTCGTACCGTTTCTATGAGATCAGATCTGAATTCGTAACTATGTTCAATCGTAGAGTTAGTGGAGAAATATATTGTTGGGAACTAGCTTCAACTCCATGTTTAGTAGAGCGGGTCGATTTTTTTCTATAAAATCGCATATGCGGGATAGTTCTACGGATCATTCTCAACTACTTTGCTTAGATATATGAGTCTAAAGCCGGTCTAAAGCGGAACAGGCGTCCCAATCATTGCAGCTTCTTCCAAGCAGAAGTGATTGCCATTAAAGTAGCAATAAGTCTCTTTCAGACCATCGACTCTAATATTAAGACGGCGACGACTCTAGCCTTGTGCTTGATGAGTGCGAATTTAAGCGGCTTTTAAATGCAGCAGAAACCGGCAAAGTCCATTATTTGCAACAAAAAAAATGCGTTTTGATCTAAAGAGGCTTCACTTTAGAAAGTTGCAGTCTGAGCAATTAAATCTATCAAATTTCTCTTTACTCCATTTACCACCCATTGCAGAATATCATGAATATCCAGCCTTATGTAGATATGTTTGGTACTCCAATCAACCTTGCCTATATACAACTGATCGCAGCTCTGAAGAAGCGTACTCATGCCAAGAACTATGCACTCTTGCTCAGCGGTAACAATTAACTTAAGCCTATTCCTATTAGCTGTCAGGCTGCCTTCTTAGTCTGCTAATAACCTCTAGCTCAAAAAGTCTTCAATATATTGTACATAAGTATACTTGTATGATGACAAATACAGTAATTTCACATTTTAAAACATTTTTTGTCTTCTTTCATCAGATTTACTTATTTTATAAGTGGCTTGGTGATTTCAAGTGAGTAAAATTACTTTGAGAAAATTAAAAATTAAGCGATCTAAAATGTAACACACATATATTTTCGATTTAATAGCATTTATACCAAATAAATATCAAAATTTGAAGGTCAATCACACGCCTTACCACTCAGCTTTGGCGTCAGTCCAAAAGAAAATAGCAGAAATATACACCTACTTGTTTACTTTTGATTCATTTCATAAGCAAGAAAGGTGTGTTACGTCGCCGTATAAGCGTACACATAACCATTTCCGCTCAGTTCAATGGATACATACGCACACACACACACAGACGCATGCATGTGTCTAGATAGGAATTGGCCAACGCTAACGGGCAGTTAGATGTGCCACCGATTACGCATCTCAATTGAGCGTTGCGTCGATTTTTTTTCAACTTTTCTACTTTTTTTTATTTGCTAATTTTTCGTTAATTCAGTTAGGCGCGCGTACCCCAACGTGCCTAATAGGTATAAGCAGTGCCTATACTTATGTAACTAGCGCGGATGAGCGCGCCTGGCTTGGAGCCGCGCGTTCGCGTATCTTGCGTTTGCTGGTCGGATGGAGGCGGCATTGGCCAAGAAATAAACGCAACACAACAACAACAAAATATAGTAGAAAAATAACTAGCAAAAACAAAGCAGTTGTTGTTTGGCTGTCAAACATTGACACAATTAAAATGGAATGCGTTCACTTGTCTAAGCGCAAACGCTGGCATGTCGGCATATATGAGGGAAATTTTCGCGAATGACTCGCACTGTTCACAGTGGTGAAAAAATAAATATTGTGATTCGTGTGAATTTTCAGCGAAGACGGCAAAATAACGCTTAGTAATGCTGTTTAAAAATATAAACAACACGTAAGCAGTCTATGCAGTTTTTGTTGTTGATTTTACTTTTTTATATTTGTTTAATTTTATTTCTTTATTTCTTGTTTTTCAAATTCTTATTTTGTTTTTTTTTTTGTCTATTTGCCCATTGACACGAACGTTCCTCCCATGCCGCTCACGCTCTAACAATGTTGTTAAGCGTTTTGGCGTTCTTTGAGTTCCGTATGTTGACAATGCAAACACTATTGTTGTTTTTGCTTTTAAATTTGCATGTATATTTTGTTCCTTGACGAAACGTTTATTTGCTTTTCATTAGCATATTTTGCGCTCAATTGACGCTTGCAAACGCTCGCGCATCAACACAGATGACACACAAGCACTCTTTCACGAACGCAATACACACCTGCATAAGAGAGAAAGAGAGAGGGAAAGGCGCATACACACACGTTTAACCTCATTTATTGAAAATGAATGAATTAGCAGCCTAACAACTGCTTAACAGTGCGCTGCACAGCCGGCATGTAAAGCCACTGTTAATGGTTTTAAGAGCATTTATTGGGGATTTTTGCACTTTTTCCAGTTGTTTTTGTAATATTGTGGTTGAAAAAAACAAAAATTTATTAACAATACTGAGTCAGCGCTTAACATGTGGCTGCCACAAAGCGTTCTTCCGCCACTCACTCACATTCTCACAGCGCCATCTGTGCACATATTCGCTCTGCGCTAAACAGAGCGCCTACAAAGCGCGATCCAACAACAATTTGTGTGCAACACATTGACAAAAGAGCGGCACAAATCGCGCAATGACTTTGTGTGTGCTTTTGTGTTGTGTATTTGCCATGAGGTGATTTTATAACTGGGTTTGCTTGGTGCTCGTCTCTTTTCTTAGAACCCGCGTTAGTTGAATTTTGCGTCACAGCTTCTTGCATAATACACAGTCGTAATTATGAAAATAAATACATTTTTCTTCAGTGTTCTTACAAGCAATAAAGCACGCTTAAATAATTTATTTGAATGGTTTTGTGACTCACCTGTAGAAAAATGCGACTGCCGACAACATTTTAATGGCAGGCAGCCACGCCTCCACGCATATTTACAAACGCCACGACAGCTGCTACCAGCTGCTAGCACAAATTGGTTTCTAAATAAGTTCACTAAAATTTCACTGGTGAAAATTACGCCTGATTTGGTGAGAAAATTGAACAAACGCTTCAGAAAATTCTAGCCAATGGGCGTAACAACTTGTTTTGTAACCATTTCAATATGCCCACAAACACACACACATACTGTATACGCTTCTCCACTCTTTACGTAACTGCTTTTGCTTTGCTTTGCTTTGCTTGGCCGTACTCACGTCAGCCAGCCAGCCAGCCAGCTGCCTTCGACGTCGTCGCCAACGTTATGTGACGTTCTGACACTCACCGTAACACATTTATTTATTGTATTTTTGGATTCACACCGATGAATTTATTTTTAAACACTCGATTTGATTTCGATTTCTTAATCATGCTTTAATTGTAAGAAATGAAAATTTCAAACCAAACAAAAACTTTACTTGCCGTATGCTGTAGCGAACGAAAATCGGCGTACTCGGTAGCAGAATGTAAGAAAAATACGCAAAAACAAAACACAAAACACAAAAGCAACTGTTTTCCTTCAATATGAATTGGTTAAAAATCAGCACAGCACAAAATGTAAAACAATGAACATATTTTTTGTTGCGTCTGGCACGTTCTCCACGACTTTTCAACGCTGTATTCGCACACACACACACCTCCAACACTGTGTTTTTGTTCTTGATTTTACTTTGAAAATTACAGAAAACGCGTTTGTCGAACTGAAAAATTCGCAAAGAAAAGCGTCCAACCTGCGCCGTTTATGCCAAGGATGAAATGATAACAGCTCACATTTATATATCATGTTGCCATCAGGCGCATGTCGAGAAAAATGGATTGGGACTTAGTAACTTGGGATGTTTAAACTTTTTAGGCTGTCTCCCGAGTAGGTGCTTTATACGCATATACATCCCTAGATGAGCAGAAGTTTATAGGCATTTAAAAGATCTATAAAATAAAAAAATTGCGATATAATAAAAAATTATAAAAAGAAACAAACAAGTCATTGAAGATCATGGTTTATAATGAACGTTTTAAATATTGTTAAATAGTCTTATTGCAATAGTCAAGATTTTAAACAGCCCAGCTTAGTCATAGTATCTTATTCGTTTATTACATATCTCCGCCTTTTTTGACATCAGTGTTCGAAATTCCCTGATTATTAATCAGGGAAAGAGTATAAAGAAAATCAGAAAATGGAGAGTCTCGCATCATGTCACTTTGTTTATGCTGCTCAACTGAAACCGAAATGAAGGCGTGCCACGCTTGACTGTTCGCAACAACAGTGAGTACAGAACAGCGCCGCATGGGTTTGATGGGACGCGAAATCAGAGCATGATGCGAGACTCTCTCATTTTCGCGATTTTTCTTTACTCTTCCTGATTATTAAAATCAGGGAATTCTGAACAGCTGATGTCAAAAAGGCGGGATGCCAGAAATAAACCAGCTAAAAATAGCTAACAAAGCAGGGAAACGAAATTTCAAGGAACGACACAAATACATTTGAATAACCTGCAACTAAATTTTATTTGCTAATTTAATTTAAAACGTTCATTTAAACCATGATCTTCTATTATGACTTGTTTTGTTTCTTTGTTATAATTTTTATTTATATGCAATTTTTTTTATGTTATATGATCTTTAAAAATTTATAATATAAATATACGTATAGGATGTATATGCTATAAAGGCCTACTCGGGGACGGAGCACTAAAATAATATTGAAATACAAAATACCCAAAGTTTTTTATAATACCCAATCCATTTTTTCGACAGTGGCATGATTGGCAAATGTTATAAAAAATGCTTTGACAGCTCTCTCTCGATTTCAAAGAGTCTCGCACGCATTTCATCCTTGGCGAAATGTAAACGTAAGAATCGCTGAGCGCACCTGACTGAGTGGCATTGGTGAGAGTCAAATAGAGGAAATAATGACAGCTGTACGATAGCAATTATAAAAGTCATTGAAGTGTTTCATAACCTAATACTAGTTGGTTTTTGGAATAAGCAGACATTTGTAAATCAAACTTTTGTTGAACTGACTTTGTTAAAATTCTCAAATTTATGGTGAAATCTTCAATTCAAATTTCGTAGCACTAAATGAAGAGATCTTTTGGAAAAAACTCTTTAAAGTGAGGAAGCAGCTAAATTTTTATTTTATTTTTCGATCGTAGACCATTATACGGACCATATTTTTATAATCAGCCTGATTTGAACAATTTCTTCGGTAATTTTGTCGCCTTAAGCAGTAATCAAAGTCAACTCGATATCTTGTCAAATAAAAAGTTTTCATACAAATACTTAATTTTATCGCTCGATTTATATGATGAGATTAGATCAAAATTTCACATCAATACTAGTTGGCGTATATATAGACGGACGGTTAAGCTGAATCACGTCACGTGATCAGTTATCTTCATATATTATAGAGTTCGGACATTTTCTTCTTGGTGTTAAAAACTTCGTGGCAAACTTTATATACCATATTCAGAGTAAAAATGGCTCAACGAGCTGGTGCAATTAGCTTCCATCGAAAAATTTATTATAATATTTTAGACAATCATAAAATGAAATGAAAATAATTTTAGAACAGAAATATCATTAGATAAGTAGAACTCGAGACTAGCAAATAAATGTAAACATCTTCCTAGGTCGAAAAAAGTTTCAATAGTTCAATTTCATCAAATGTAAATAAACAAAATAAAGTTATCTACACAATCTGGCAATATCGAAACTCTCACAGCAATATTTGCAGCTATTTTTCAGCTTTTACAGAGCTTTAGCAGCGCTGTGTCGACAACATTGTGTAAATAGTATCAGCACTCTCTATGGCTTTCATGGTGTTAGTGCCATTGTTAAAAGCGATTTGTTCACTTTTCAATTATATCACAAATGTTTCGAAAGAGCACAACGCAAACAAATGAAAAACAAGAGAGCGCGCGTTGCCATGTGCGTTACGTCATTCTGACAACGACTGTGATGGCGGCTTGTCTCCCACACTCAATGCAATTATGCCCACATACGCATTTGTGTTTTTGTAATTGTATTTGTGGTAGCGTGTTATGAGCGCAAAATTCGTCGGCACTGGACGCGCCCACCTTCTGTGCCTCTACTTTCAGCACTTTCGTTTTGTCTGTTTCTTCGTTCTCTTTGCGGCAAATTATAAACAAAAGTTGGGAAGACGCATGCTATATAAAGGTTGGCAACAAAATCTTGAAAGTATAGCCTACTATGTTCCATTTTTGATCTTTAATATGTAATTTTTTTTCTGTAATCAGTAATTATTGTACTTTAACCTTAAAAATCATTTTCAATCTTTTAATTTTTATTTTTAACTTTTAGTTTTTGAATGTTATTTTTAAGTAGATCTTTAATCAATAATCACTAATCTTTAATCTATAATCTGATCACATTTGATATTTAATTTTTATTCCTTAATCTATATTCTTTATTCCATAATCCATAATCTATTATCTATAATCTATAGTCTATAAACTATAATCTATAATCTATAATCTATAATTCATAATCTATAATCTATAATCTATAATCTATAATCTATAATCTTAATCTATAATCTATAATTATAATCTATAATCTATAATCTATAATCTATAATCTATAATCTATATCTATATATATAATCATAATCTATAATCTATAATCTATAATCTATAATCTATAATCTATAATCTATAATCTATAATCTATAATCTATAATCTATAATCTATAATCTATAATCTATAATCTATAATTCATAATCTATAATCTATAATCTATAATCTATAATCTATAATCTATAATCTATAATCTATAATCTATAATCTATAATCTATAATCTATAATCTATAATCTATAATCTATAATCTATAATCTATAATCTATAATCTATAATCTATATCTATAATCTATATCTATAATCTATAATCTATAATATATAATCTATAATCTATAATCTATAATCTATAATCTATAATCTATAATCTATAATCTATAATCTATAATCTATAATCTATAATCTATAATCTATAATCTATAATTATAATCTATAATTATAATTATAATCTATAATCTATAATCTATAATCTAATCTATAATCTATAATCTATAATCTATAATCTATAATCTATAATCTATAATCTATAATCTATAATCTATAATATAATCTATAATCTATAATCTATAATCTATAATCTATAATATATAATCTATAATCTATAATCTATAATCTATAATCTATAATCTATAATCTATAATCTATAATCTATAATCTATAATCTATATCTATAATCTATAATCTATAATCTATAATCTATAATCTATAATCTATAATCTATAATCTATAATCTATAATCTATAATCTATAATGTATAATCTATAATCTATAATCTGTAATATATAATCTATAATCTATAATCTATAATCTATAAACTATGATCTATAATCTATAATCTATAATCTATAATCTATAATCTATAATCTATAATCTATAATCTATAATCTATAATCTATAATCTATAATCTATAATCTATAATCTATAATCTATAATCTATAATCTATAATCTATAATCTATAATTCATAATCTATGATCTATAATCTATAATCTATAATCAATAATCTATACATGTACATATGCAGCCCTGCATGCGCATCAAAATTCCTAAGTGTTCTTTTTGTTTATTGCTGCTGCTGCCAAAATTCTCACGCTTATTATACATGTATATAAACAAAACTGTTGAAGTGTGGCCTGATGCGCGTGGAATATTATACTATATATACTAAACCTGTGTATGTATCAGATTGAAATAAATTATATTCTAGGTGTGGACTATTGAGAATTACTGGTAATTATTTCATGTGTGATACATATATATAAGGTACAAATTATACATAATTTGACTTCGAAGAAATATGTCCAAGAAAAGTAATCAAGAATATGATAAAAATGTGAAAAGTTGTTATATGTATAGTATTTAAGTTATTTCTTATAGTTATATTTATATATTGTAGTATTTAATGTTATTGTGATTTTCTTCAAAAGTGTCAGTTTGTAAACCTAGGCAATTACGTTGATGTTTTTATGTTAAATTTATTGCAGTTAAAAATATTAGCTGAAAGGCAACCACTAAGAATTTGTATGAAAAACATAATTTTTGAACAGATCACAACAGCTACAGTATAAATCTGCGCAGCCAAGCGACCGAAAATTTTATTCCAGTTAAATGCTATTAAAGGTTACGTATACGACGAGGTGTACGAAGAACACATAGTAAATGTTTTTGGGGTTCTATTGGGGGTGTAACTATGTTTTAAAAGGATTTATATGACAATCTAGTGATAACTAGGTGAGCATTTTAGCGTTTTCAGTAGCTTTAGAAGTTTTTAGAATTAGAATTTTTTTTCTAATTTATTTATTTAATTTTATGATTAGAATAAACTGTGGTAACAATCTAACCACTGCAATGCATTACACAATGAGCTCATATTTTTTAATATATCAATTTTGTTAGTGTACTGAACTTAATTTCGTGCAATTTTGTTTTTTTAAATTGTTAAAATTAAATAACTAAATTAGTTTGGTCATAAAGAAGTAAGGAAGGCTAAACTCTGATGCCGTCGAGCAATTAAAACTCTCGTAATTTGATCTAAGATCAACGGTGCTCATAGAAACTTTTGTATTTATACTAGCAGATCCGTCCACGCTTTGCTGTTGGCTATAGTATACTTAAAATATTATCATAATAAGCTATTCAATACAGTGAAAATATTATTTACG